GCCCTGTCCCTGTCCCCATCCCCATGGTGGCCCTGTCCCCATCCCCATGGTAGCCCTGTCCCTGTCCCCATGGTGGCCCTGTCCCTGTCCCCATCCCCATGGTGGCCCTGTCCCCGTCCCCATGGTAGCCCTGTCCCTGTCCCCATGGTAGCCCTGTCCCTGTCCCCATGGTGGCCCTGTCCCTGTCCCCATCCCCATGGTGGCCCCAGTGTCCCTGTCCCCATCCCCGTGGTGGCCCCAGTGACCCTATCCCTGTCCCCGTCCCTGTGGTGTCCCTGTCCCCATGGTGGCCCTGTCCCCATGGTGGCCCCAGTGTCCCTGTCTCCACGGTGGCCCCAGTGGCCCTGTCCCCATCCCCATGGTGGCCCCGGTGTTCCTGTCCCTGTGTGTCCCCATCCCCATGGTGGCCCCAGTGGCCCTATCTCTGTCCCTGTTCCCATGGTGGCCCCAGTGGCCCCGTCCCCATCCCCATGGTGGCCCCAGTGTCCCTGTCCCCATCCCCGTGGTGGCCCCGGTGTCCCTGTCCCTGTCCCCGTCCTTGTGGTGGCCCCGGTGTCCCTGTCCCTGTCCCTGTGGTGTCCCTGTCCCCATCCCCATGGTGACCCCAGTGGCCCTACCCCTGTCCCCATCCCCACGGTGGCCCCAGTGTCCCTGTCCCCATCCCCGTGGTGGCCCTGTCCCCATCCCCGTGGTGGCCCCGGTGGCCCTGTCCCTGTCCCTGTGGTGTCCTTGTCCCCGTCCCCATGGTGGCCCCGGTGTCCTTGTCCCCGTCCCCGTGGTGTCCCTGTCCCCATCCCCATGGTGGCCCTGTCCCCATCCCCATGGTAGCCCCAGTGTCCCTGTCCCCATCCCCATGGTGTCCCTGTCCCCATCCCCATGGTGTCCCTGTCCCCATGGTGGCCCCAGTGGCCCTATCCCTGTCCCCGTCCCCGTGGTGGCCCCAGTGGCCCCAGTGTCCCCATCCCCGGTGACTCCCCCGGTGCCACCCCCCCCGCACAGCCCCGGTGACACAACGGGGGTGACACAACAACGACCCCGGGGGGGTCCCCGAGGGCTGGGGGGGTTGGTGACCCCCCTGTCCCCCCCCTGAGTCCCCCTGTCCCCCCCCGTCCCCCCCCAGGTGCTGAGCAACGCGCGGCTCTTCCTGGAGA